CTCATGGCAAGATTTTCCTTACATAACTCATGCCTGCTACTTTTTAACTCTTAAATAACAGAAATTTTACCTTAAGCAATATAGTTATTCTTCAAAATTGCAGTATACATATTTTTAGCATCAGTATGTTATGTAAGAATAGTAAATTCTAGAATAATGTGGCAGATATTCTTGGACACATGCATACACATTATGTAGTAAATTATATTCTGTACTTTTGAAGTGTAGCTAATTTAAAAACTAAAGTTTCCATTAAATTTGTTTTTATTTTTTATTAAATAATGATTTTTTAATCTCAAGGTTTATGGTTTAACTCAAATACTTTTAAAGTTCTATAACCTATTACATGATAGAATAACATATTTCCTCTTCAAGCTTATTTCTTTTTAATGTGATACAATACACAAAGGTATTACTAAGAAGGCTAGAAGTGCAGTTTGAACTCCTTAAGAAATTTAACTGAGTATGTAAAGTAAGCTTTCGGTAATATAAATCTGGACTTCAGGCTAGAGAGAGATTTTAGAGCAGCCAGCATTTAGGTGGCAGTTGAAGGCAAGAGAATAATTGAAATCACCCAGGTACATTGTAAATAACAAAAAGGGAAAAGGCATGACCATTTTGTGAGTAGTTACAAATCTCAGTATTTAAAGGGCAGGTAGGGGAAAGTAGCCAGTGACAAGAAACAAGAGTCAGAGATAGAAAATGTACCAGGAGGCGAGCAATCCTGGAAGCCAAGAGAGAAGAGAATTTCAAGAGAATGTTGTGGTTAGTATCAAATATTACAGAAAAATAGAATAAGGGCTTAAAAATAGACCAGTGGGTCTGGCAATTAGTAAACCGTAATGAGAACAGTTTCAATGATGGGGCTAGAAGTATTATGACTGACGATTAGATGGAAGGCAATAAATTGGATAAAATGCATAGACATATTCTTTTCCTCCTAAAAATTGATAGAGTATGGCAACTTCAAGCCAGGAGGTAGTTAAAATAAAGATTTGGGGGTTTGGTTATTGCTGTTGTTTTTTCTCTTTTTAGAATCATGCAGAAATATTTGAGTACATTTGTGTCGAAAAGCAAAGATGTCAGTGAAGGAAGAAAGATAGAAGTTACAGAAAAGAAAAAGAATAATGAATGAAGCAGATCCCTGGTTGAGGCAGGTCATGGGCCCTTGAGCACATGAGGAATTCTGGAAGAGGCTGCGAGAATATAAATGTTTCCTTAGGTCAGATTGTTCCTTAAATGGGAGGCAGAAAAGTGGGAAGTTGAAGGCATTCTCACTTGATGGTTTCTATTTTCTGTGTAGACCAGGAGTAAGAGAGAGTCTTAATTCATTTGTTAAGCACTTGCTAATTGCAGAACATGGTGCTAGGGACTTGGGATACAGAAAGAAAAGGATAATTATGGTTCATCAGTTTCTGGTGCTTATAGTCTGTTGGAGAAGACAGATATCAAATAATTAAAATAAAGAATGATAAATGTTCTAATGAGTAAGTATTGGGTACTATGGGAAATCAAAGAAGGGACCTAACCAAGTGTAATTAGAAGATAGTCTCTTTAAGGAAATGGCATAATCTGAGACCTGAAAGTTTTGGAATCACCCAGACAGATACTGAGGATATAAATAAGGAAGTAGGAATTGTATCTGTCACAGCAGCATGTGCAAAGTCCCGGACACTAAAAAGAGCATGGAAGGTTCTGAAAGAAATCAGAAAGGAATTCTTCAGAATAACTGGAGCAGAGGGTGCAAGAGTAAAATTGGTGAATGTTCATGGCTGTACAGAGGTATGAAGTAGGCAAATCTTAAAAGATGTTAAAAGCCACACTGGCAACAGAAAACCAATGAAAGGTTTTACTGAGAGCAGCTGCTTCAGGGCAATACTGAAGCATTACCTGTCAAAACATGATGATCAAGATATTAGAGTGGTCTTTTCTAGGTAGATATAACTGGTGTAGATGGAGAGGATTTATTATATTCAAAAAATATCTAGGAGAGTAACTTGGTGATTGACTGCAGGTTAGGAGATTTTTAGAAGGATGAAGAATCGTTCCTAGATTTATAGATTTGGGTCAGCCAGATAGATAGTGATGCCATATTTTGAAATGGCAATTACAGGAGAAGGCACATACTTTTTTTTGGGTGGGGGAAGATTCTCTTTTGGAACTGTGAAATATGAAGACTTTATCAAACAGCTAGGTAGCTGTTGGGTTTACAAGTATGAAGCTCAGGTGAAAGAACTGGGTTAGTTTAATGGATGTAGAAGTCATCAATATACAGGTATCATTTTAAGCCAATCCGTATAACTTACTATTTCATCAAAAATAAAGAGTTATATACATATATAATTGCATATAAATTATGAACAATTAGAGAAGATAAAATAATTCAGCAAAGGTTCAGGGTACAAGAATAGCAGAGAGAAATCATTGTGTTTCTATATGTTGGCCATGAACAATCTGAAAAGGAAATTAGAAAATAATTCCATTTACAATAGTGTAAAAGAAACTTACAAATAATTTTAAGCAATGATGTGAACAACCAATATGTTGAAGTCTATATGAATTTGCTGAAAAAAA